TATCACACACTCTACGGAGTACTCGCTACTATTCCCATAATCAGATTGTTATGCTTGAACTGCACTTTCAGAGCGCCCATTAACGGAATCAGCTCCAGCTTGTCTTTAAGGGGTAAAAGCTTGCCGAACCGTCGACGAGCATGTCTGAGTACACGTACCTCTTCCATATGAGCAACATGCTTGTTGAGCATATATGCTGCTATGAGAATGAAGCGACCGTCGCTCGGTCAGTCACAGGAACCTGCGAGAACCCAAAGCACGTGAGGCGGTGCTCTCGTCGCCTGAACCACTTGTTCCGCGCCGACTGGCCGCTGCTCCTAGACAACAACTCCGGCAAAGTAGCATGTCCGATAGACAGCTCCGCGCTTCCAGAGTAGATACTGACCCCGAGTTCGAGTTTGGTATGCATCGACGCACCTTTCGCCATCCGAAAGTACTACCTTTGGCTTGAATCCGTTATCGCAACCATACCCATAACCAAGAGTAAACCCACACATAAGAAAGAGTCCCTCGACCTCCTACAGGTGTTTCTTTTGCAACCTTTTTCTTTTCCTTGTGACCACTTTGACTTCTCCGAACAGAACCCGATCCTTCCCTAACCAGCCGCCTACACGCTCTATTACATCATGCTGCCGTTCACCGCCTTGGCTAGCTTGATCTCTGAGATGGAAATGTTTGTTCCCCATCTGTTCCTCTACCTGTTGTTGAATCGTGGAGTAGATTTCCAAGCACTTCGAGCTGGATTGGAGGATTCAAGACTACGAAGGTGGACTACAACTTCAAAAGATGAACGGTCCCATCAACTGAATCAGCACGAGCTGCTCTCTGAGGGATGAAAGTCTTCTCCCAGGGGCGGTGATCGTGTCTTTCACGAGCGTCTCGTGGCAAAGAGTCTGGAAATCAGCAGCGACGCGAGAAACCAATGCGAAGAACGGAACGAAACGGAACTTTAGCAGTCGAAAGAAATTTTGAAATCCAAGTACCGTATAAGTTCCACGCTACACCGTTGAAGGACCCAGGGTATACCCATTGCCGCCCTAAATGCACACTGAACGCCCTGCCCGCATTTTCCGTCCATATCCCCAGCCCGCACCCCTGTCCATTCTAGCTCTTGACATTCTCACACCTCAGCAAACCTGACTGCCCTCCTCGGCGCCTCCACCACCTGACCCCCAGCCCCGGTACCCTCTCCTCTCCGTCTGTTGAATCTCCTCTGTCTGGCCTCCCGCGCTTCGCGCGCCCTCCACTCACTGACCTGCTGTTTCCGCTTCTGGCTGCGCGCATACGCCATGGCGGGCGTGAGCCGGAATCCCAGCCCGTTGATGCCCGTACCGTCGTCGTCCCGGGACATGTCAACCTCGTGACCCGTGATCTCGGTATCCTGCCAGAACAGCGCTGAGGGGTCCGGCGTGCTCTCGACGCTGACGTCGTGCGGATTATCCGGCGAGGGGCGGATTTAGGAGGTGGTGAGAGGTCTAGGGAGAGATGGTGCGTGTTGGGAGCGTGAGGAGGGCATCGAGGGATGTGGTGATTGGAGTGGGGAGTAGAGGGGAAAGGCGCGGTTGTTCCGCTGATGCTGACACTGCTGCCGTCGGAGATGTTGAGTCTGTGAACCGGGCTTTCAAGGCGACTTTCTTCCTTGGTGACGGCGACAGAGGCGGAGACGAAGGATACCGCGCGTAGGCTCCCGGCGTCTCGTTAATCTCTTCGACTTGGATCTTGCGATCGCGGCTAGGTGGCGGTGTCGCAGGACCGTCATGCTGTTGTGCCGCTGGCCCGCTTGTCTGCCTCGCTGCCTCTTGTGGTGTTCCTCTTTTCGTTCTCTTCTTGGGCGCGTGGATCGCTCGTTCTGGTTCCGGCAATGCCTCTGTTGGCACGGGAGAGGGCGCTGGCGCTTCGATGTTGAGTGATCGGAAACGTTCAGCAACTTTGGAACGTGGACTGTTTCCTCCTCCTCCTTCTACGCTGTCGTCGTCCATGTCTTCGCATCGTTCGATTACCGCCGACATGTCGAGCGGAGTCAGTGAGCTGTGGATCGTGTCGGAGCGCTTGCGCTTGGGCATGTTGCGGGCGGTCATGCGCGTGGTTGGCCGTGGAGGCACTGCTGATGTTCCGGTAGGTAGTGAGAGGTGAAGGAAGAGGGTGCTGGCTGAATTGAGAGGAAGTTGGTGGGGTGTTTGCTGGCGGACAATCAGCCGCAACGGCGCGTACCTAGAGTCAACGCAACTGTTTCCTTAAAGGGAAGACTGTCGGGCCAGATGTGTCTTTTGACCCGATAGTGGAACGACGTCTTCACTGCGCAGAAGAACAATGCGGTTGTAACAAGCTAATACTTTCTATTCCAGTTCAGCAATGCGTCTGTTCTAGGATCAAGCGCCTGACGTCCACCCACACGCCCCGCTCGACAAGGTTCCGTGATCTCCCCTCCATGGTGGTGTTACGAAACTTGATTCCTGCCGTTCCTTTTCACGTGAAGCAACCCATCGCGATCCGTACTCCCCAACCACATAACGAGAGGTTGGGATCGGCCATTGGAACTGCGGAAAAGGTGATGATCAAAAGAGGAGGAGAGGTTAGTTTTGCTCGAACGATCAACATGCGGGGAGCTCGAGCTCCGCAAGGACACTCACGCATCATCACCCAACGCCATCACCACTGACATACCTGTGAAATCTACTTCATGGTATCTCGATTCCTTCGTTATGGGACCATATCATACAGCACTTTTTTTTTTTACAAAGATACGCCTTACGGTGTAGTCAATCCGTCTCGCTGACATCTCGCTGACATCTCGCTGGAGAAGTAGACAAAGCAAAGTGGGCCCAACACTCACAGGCCCTGAGAGAACCCCAAATAAAGGCAAAAGGAAAAGTCGACCTTACAACGACAAGATAGGCAACCTCTTCGCCGCAAACCAGGCCCAGAAGATGTACTTGTTGTCGTCGAAAGGCGCACCAGACCAGTTGTTCGCGATGGCTGCCAGAACCATATCGCTGTAGAGCGCACTCAGCGCTCCGAAGGCGAAGATAGCCGTCAGAACAGCGCCCAGTCCGCCCCATACGAAGCGGTCGGTGACGTCCTCACCCAAGAAGATGAAGACCAGCACTACCACCACAACTAGCGTCCCCACGATAGCGCTGAAGACGTAAGTAACCGTGTGGACCCTCATGGTTTGAGACCAAGTCTTCACGACCAAGGAACCGAGTCCCGTCATGCCGACAACAACGCCAGCAGCGTAGAGCATGAGCCACCAGAACGGTGCATGCGAAACCTTGACCTCGTAGAAGCCGTCCTTGAGCAGACGCTTCTGCAGCACCGCGCGATGCAAGCCGATACAAGCAAGGGTTACGCTCATCGTGAGTTTCCAAACCGCAAGCAGCACAAACTGCCATCCATTCCTGCACACAACCATCGTGATCGTAGCCAGCGGTACGCATGCCACCACGCTCAGTATCGCGAAGGCGAAATCCCAGCGGTCGTGCTTGAGGTGTGCCGAGTCGCCGAAGGGCCAGAGGGGCGGCGGCCGAGCCCGAGGCAAATGACGGTCCAGTAGGTGAGCAAGTGCGAGGCGAGCCCGATATAGCCGTATGGGAGGCTGTAGCACTTCACCTCGTCGAGGGGCGTGGTGCCCGTTTTGGAGGGCATGAGTGAATCGATCCAGGCGGGCATGTCGAGGGGTGTTGGGGCTGGCAGTGGTGCTGACAGCGATGGTCTTGAGAGGGCGAGGAAGGCTAGGAGGAGGTGCGCAGCGCGGTTGGAAGCCATGGCGTCGGCCCTTCGCTGATCGAAACCAGTTGTACAAGGATAATGAAAACGTGAACGAGCCTTGTGATGGTAGATGGAAGAGAAAAGGAAGACAAATCTTTGGTTCTGACTAGATACTTTTCTCACAGTCGTGACTGTGGTTCATTGGGTTCCTGAGATTATCCACTGCCATATCCATCTCTGCCTTATATACTCACAGGGGAACTGAGGCTCTCAGGACACAGCCTCTGCCGTCACAAAGGCACCTACAGGGGGTGTTGGGATACAATAGCATTGCGCATGGTAAGCGAAAACAAGCCACCAACGAGCAGCAGTTCTGTGGAGCGGCTGCAATACATGATGGCTGCAGTGTCTCGCAACAATAGCATTGTAGGCGGGGGCTGTGTGTGCGCCCATCGCGAGCTGTGCGTCTTGGCAAGCAGCCACCGACACGGGTACGGCCCCAGGTGGAAAAACAGGAACAGGGACAGTGCAATTGTCTGACATTCGAGTAACAGTAGTTCGAAGGACTGGATGATTGTGACATGGAGTAGAGGACAATTTCTAGATCGAGCATATCCAGGATCGACGAATTCTGTTCATCCTGCCCGTCGATCGAGGACCGAAGCAGGAAGCGGCTCTTGATAGCCAGTTTTTCCAAGCCTCATGCACCGCTGATTGGACGGTATTCCTGGGACCGTGCGATTAACGTGCTGCAAGCCCTACAAGCCTTTGCATTCCCTTCACCCTCAGCCTTGCCCTGCTACGAGCCGCGCCTTCGACGCGCTACTATTGCGATGTTAGGAGATGTTGAGTAAGGGCAATCTACAGAGTGAAACGTACCCACTGCGCCACTAGCCTATGTAGTACGCTTGATTGATGGGTTTTGGAGTTCTCAAGAGACTATCGTCGTGAGGTTCCGATGCTTGCCAAAGTAGAGAATATGACGATAAGAGGGTTGAAGCCCGCGCCCGAGGGTTAGGGTTAGGGTTAGGGTTAGCTCTAGAAACATTTTGATCATGTTCTGGTCTCTACTATATGTGTGTCCCATCGTTTCCTGTATAGACGTCTTGGAGAGAGACAACAGTAAATAGTTCACTGACACTGTTGAATGATTGTCGCATAACCTGTCAAAGCGTACTAGACCGCAGGCTACAATAAACACACAAAGTTGATATTTCAGATAGAACTACTCTTGCTGCAACAATCATACTGATACGCTTGCCTCCAAAAACCATCAACCAAGCGTACTACAGGGGCTAGTGGCGCAGTGGGTACGTTTCACTCTGTAGATTGCCCTTACTCAACATCTCCTAACATCGCAATAGTAGCGCGTCCGCTTTGCATTATAAAGCAACAGTGTGCGGAAGGTCTAGGGTTCGATCCCCTACTAGTCCACTTTTTGCCCGTATATGAGCCTGTAACATGTCTTTTGCTCCACTTTTCCTGGGCGTTAACGCCCAGGAAAGGCGGCAGAAACTCTTTGGAGGGCCCTCTAAATCAACCCAACACGACATCTCATAGAGCCATGCTACAGAGCCAAGGTAGGCCTCGAAGTAGCACAGCCGCAGGTAAGGCAACGACAAGGCAATGGAGAACCACCGTTGTAAAGTACTTTAAAGGGCGCCCTACTATGACGGCCCTCTATCCTAGCCTGGTCTAAAATCTCATAAATGCTACGCCATAGACCCAAGACGGGCCTAGAATCAGCATAGTTGCTCGTCGAAGCGGGCAGTAGAGTACTCGGGAACGGCAACCACGCAGCATTGCAAAGGGGCCCTCTACCATAACGTCCCTTCAGACCAAACCCCGACGTGGCATCCAGCAGCGCCTATGCGGCAGGGCGTGCAGCTGCTCTGACTTCACATGTAGCCCCCTCATACACCAGGGCAGCTCACACCTCAGCCTCTTTCCCCACCTCCTTGATTGCCTTGACTAACCCATCCAACGTCCCCCTCAGCATACCGCCATTGACCACGACCCTGAAAAACTTGCCCTCCTCTCCGGGCGCATAATCGATCATAAAGCCCCTCGGGATCAACCTTGCCGCCACCTTCTCCGTGATCTTGCTGTTCCTGTTCCTGTGTCCGACGCCCGTCTGCTTCTTGTAGTAAAAGCAGACCTGCCAGCACGGCGGCGGGTTCTCGGACACGAGGCTGAGATCCGCGTCGTTCTGGACGAGCGTCGCGAGGTAGGATGCGGCGTCGAAGCCGCGGTCGATGAGCGCTTCGAAGCCGTCGCTGCCGTAGTAGATCCAGGATAGCGCGAGCTTGAGACTGTCGCCCCTCCGCCCGCACTGCGGCGTCAGGTCCGCCAGGTCCCAGACTTCGCGATCGTCCTGCTCGATGCCCGGGTGCAGGTTGGAGTCCGGGTCGGCGGTGTCCGCGACGCTCTCGTCCAGCGTCTTTTCCTCGTCGTCCGTGTGGTGGAATAGATAGCCGGCGGGCAGCGTCATGGCGTGCTGGAACTGGCGCATGTCGCGTCCGAGCAGGAAACTGCACGTCATGGGCACGCCGAGCATCTTGTGCGGCGTGACGCCGATGCTGTCGGCGCGGTGGACGCCTTTGAGGCGCCACTTGTTCGCGTTGCTGAAGATGGCGGGGCCGCCCCAGCTGCCGTCCACGTGCATCCAGAGCTTGTGCTTTGCGCAGACGTCCGCGATCTCGTCGAAGGGGTCGTAAGAACCAAGCACTGTGGTGCCGGCTGTCGCGTTGACGTAGAAGGGCGTCTCGCCCCTTTCCTTGGCGACTGTGACGAGCGTGTCGAGCTCGGAGGCGACCATGCGTCCTGCGGAGTCGACGGGTACGCTGCGTACGTTGGAGCTGCCGAATCCGAACATTTGGGCCGCTTTCTCCAGACTATAGTGTCCGTGGGCGGAGGTGAAGAGAACGAATCTCGTGCTCCCGATTCCCTCAGTCTTAGTCTTCGGAAACAGCGTATTGCGCGCGATGACGATGGAAGACTGATTAGCCGCGCTGCCGCCAGGTTGAGAGATTCCTCCTGCATGCGGCCCCGGGAGACCGAATTGTGCGGCCAGAGCGTGGGAGGTTTGCTTCTCGATAAGAGTCAAAACGGGCGAGACCTGGTACACGTGAACCTATTTGTTCGTCAGCCGATTGCATGCTTCTGTGCTGCTGCTGCTGCTGCCGCCGCCGCCGGAAACACGCAGCTCATACATTCGTGTTCAACGTCGCAAGCAACAGCTCCGACACCAGTCCCACAGCGTTCGTGCTCGCATACAGCTTGTCCATGAACCCTTGGTCCCAGGTATTGACGCTGTACTGCAGCACCCTCTGCACAACCTCTAACAAGCCATCTCTTCCCTTGCCCTCCTGAGGGTACTCCAGGTCGCGCGAGATGAGCGACTGCAATTTCTTCGGTGGATGGTGTTCTACAAGCGCTGTTCGAGGACCTTGGCCGGAGACTTGCAGGCCGCGGCCCGTGGATTTGTGCGCAGCATCTTCGTCTGCTGCGTTGATGAAGGGAAGGATTAGGGATTGGACTGAGGTCAGGAGCTACAGCGAACGCAAGTCAGTTTTGGCTTCACACAAGCCGTCAATCGCATGGGATCATGCTGTAGCACCTTACATCCTGCACCTCGTCCGTCCTATTGAGACTCGGTTGCTGCGGTGAGCCATTGGTAGACATGGCGGTGCCGGTCGAGAAGATCTACACTATACAACGAACAAAAGACGGCACGTTTCTGCGCCCGAGTGCTCTACAAGTATGAGTACAGTGTATTGGACCTGGTGATGTAGTCTAAGGTCACATAATTGTGTATGAGTACAACGTGGATGGTACAAAAGTGGAAAACCCGCAATTACGACATGTTGCGTATTCCGGGGTATCTCGGTTCATGCCGAATCGGGTTCGGTCCCTCGGTCCCTCAGTCGCTCGGTCCCTGCGTCCGCGATGCATCCCGCATCCCGCATCCCTCTGCGCCAATGGAAACCTTCGCAGTCAATCCAGGCCAGGCCTGGGTCCGCTCTCCGCATACAAAAGGAAACGCTTTTTCTTCCAGTCTCGGGTCCGCCATTCTTCGTCCTACGTACTGCTCGTGGCAGCGCTCGTGGTCGCCGTCGAGTTACCACCGCCTCTGTTCCTGTGCGCAGCCCTCTGCTCCTTCCTCGCTTTGTTGGCCGCATGCTTCTCCCTCGCCAGCTGCAGCGCCGACTTCCCTTCGTTGCCTGATGTCTTCTCTTTGTTCTGGTCCAGCTCCGAGAAGCTCTGGAAGCCATCGTTGCTGGCCTTGATCTTGCTCTGCCGTATCCACTCCCCTCGTTTCCTCTTGTAGATATCCATTTTCCAATTCTTCCACACGCCACGACCGCAGGGCGAGTCGCGCAACGATGCCTCGTTTTCTGCCAGCTCTTCTGCGATGCGTTCGCGGATGAACGCCAGCCCGTGTGTGCCTTCCCATATCGAATCTACGACGTGCGACGCGGATCTGTCGAGTGCCATGTCTCCAATCCGACCGTAAAACTGCTGCACCAGTTTCCTCCTCGAGATGATAGATGCGTTCGTCGAAGTCATGGCGGCTTGCAGCGTGCGCGAAGCGACCGGATCGCGAGCAATCCTCAACAAGGTTTCTGCGGGTACCTCTACTAGCGAATCGAAGATCAGTCCGCTTAGCGGACCCGGAACCAGGATCATCGTCTGCGCAAGAATCGAGCCGTGCACCTTGGCGGACTGCGGAGCCCTTTCTGAAGTGGGTGGAGGCATTGCTCCATCCATCAAAGGAGCAGTATCGCCGTTCATGCCACTCATGACCGCATCATCGCCCAGTCTTAGCAGCTTCGTTATATCGAACGTGTCTTCCGGTCCCTTGTATGCAACGTCGATTTGTGCAGCAATGGCCTGCGTATCCACTTCGCGTACAACGCAACGCTGAATGAGGGTTCTGACAATGGTGAACCGATTGCGCTCCAAGAGACTAGGGATTTGGGGCACGATGAGCTCGTGGGCCTGTAGCAGATCTTCCTTACTCAATCTTTCGAGAATCTTGCATGCGACGTAACCTGCAACCTCGTTCCTTGCCAAAGATGCTAGCCGCTCTTTCAGGAGTTCTTTGTACAATGTCTTGAACAGCTTTCCGGGCGCGTACTCAACAATCGTTTCCATTAGATGCGAGCCTACAGGGTCGTACATCAGGTTGTTGATGAACGATGCGCTTTCGCATTCTGCCGTCAATGGGTCGTCGGGGAGGAGAGTTCGAATGATAGAATTGTCGTCTTTCGCTCTTTGCTTGCCAAAGTGTGTAAGTTCTAAGCGCAAAAGCAGCTGGAGCGTCGGGTTCCCAAGAGGATGCGTCGCCAGCGCGCGCAAGCTGTTGGTGTCTAGTCCAGCTATACTATCCGTGATGAACTTCTGCAATGCGTCGGTGAAAGAACCTGGAACAGCCCGCTTCGCGTCTGCCGCTTCATCAGCTGCTTCAGCTCCATTGACAGCAACATTCTCCTTCTTCTTGCTGCGCAGCAGTGACTTCGTTGAGGTCGCTTCAAGTGGTTCGCCAGCGAGTACCAGTAAAAGAACACGAAGAGCGTGCGTCGCGAACCGATCCGTCATCAGGAAGCCGATGTTTCCTTCGAGTTCTCCAATGGTGTAAAGGAACAAGCTCTCCATGGATACGTAGACGTCTTCGGACGAGTTCGTTTTGGGGGCTCGAGAAGTTCCTGTGTGACTACTGGCGCAGCCTGAGTGAACAGCTTTTCGCAGCAGTGGGACGCGAACCTGTGTTGAATGAGGTGCATGAAGCTGAATGGGGAGGTAAGTTTCGTGAATTGTAAAGCTAGAGAAGCAAGAATACATACTTTCCACTGAACTTCTGGAACAATGTCTTCAGTTGAGCAGGCAAAGACAGCTGGATCAGGCGCTCCATCAGCCGCGAGCAAGATTGGCTGTTGGCAATCTTGAGCTCTTTCCCTTCAGCTTCACGATACACGTTGGCAAGAAAGAGTTTACGCTCGTCGGGATCGGTGAAGGCGTTCAGCTCAAGCATCTCGTCAGCCCTCTTGAAGTACTCCTGCTCCTCCTCGTCAAGCATGCCGAAGAAGGGCTTGTCGGCCTGCAACGAGCTCTCTCCATTCTCGCCGGTGCCGTCGGCGTATAGCTGCAGTTGCTGCTCGTCCTCGGTCGCCACAGGAACAAAGTCGGCTTGGTCGGGAGCAGCAACACGCTGCCTTTTCTGGTTGTCGTGATCCGCTTCGTCGGCGTTCTCAAGCTTGCGCTTCTTCTCCTCGCCTCTGCGACCGCGCTTCTTGTTTTCCCTCGGCATGGCTGCTGGGGGAAGTGTGGAGTTGGAAACAGAAGAGGTTCGATCGTGATCGGAGAATTAAAGACGGTGATGCAGGCTTTTGCCAGGGAAATGATGAAATTGTCTAGAATAGAGTTTTGTTAGG